GCGATGGCTGTGGCTTCGGCTTTCGTTTAAAGATTTAAACCGTGTACTCTGATGCTCATTGCGTTGCCAGCTGACTCCGCTCCCGTGAATGGTTTCGACGTTGTGTGGAACTAACACAACTCCGTGGCTTATGAAATTAGGCCCAGGGCCTCCTTTCCATATGGTACACTGATGTGTATGCTGTATTTCGATGAGCTGAGAACGATCGCATGGTCACGATCATCACCATCAGTTGGTTAGGCGCCTGCTCTCCGATTCAACCATTAGAGGCGGGATGAGTTTACGCTACTTTGACGACAGCTACTATTTGCTGATGCGGCTAATGTATTGCGGCTACGACTTGCTTCTTTGCGACTGGGATGGTCTGTTTGTCGGTGGCGCAGCCGCGCCAAAAGGTAAGGTCACATGGAGGGCAAGATGGACCGTGCCGAGCATCGAGGTACGTTAAAGAGAATGCCCCTCACTTGAAGATATTGAAGCCATCATTCAGTTATCATGAGATAAGCCTCCCTATACCTAATGGCATACTTTCAAGTGGAAAAGAAAGCGCAATTTCTTCCAAGTTACAGACAAGACAATTTTCTCCGTTTAGAAAGTATTCTCCTCAATACGTCATTGTTTGACTACGTCATCCAACCTTGCACAACACTGATTGAGAGCTAACTGACGAGCGTTATACCTGGAAATCATGCTTACGAACGCCAGATATGAACGACTCGACACTGATATTTTTATTGATCTTAACCGCCGCATGGTTAATGGAATGGCAATATTTGAATGTCGCTATTATGGAGTCATGGATACCTGGGTGACCTTGAATAGTCTCCCAAAAAGTCTGCACACCTTCGCGGGCGTGGGGCTTAGAAACTAGAGGTGTTTAGTTTTTAAGAAGGGCAGGGCTGTGAACTGCACCGAATGATCTTCAAAATAGGTATTTGGCTATTTCAACAGCTATTTATATATAGCTAAATGACTATTTATATTTTTATTATTATATAATTATTCTCATATAAATGGCTATTTCAGTTCAAAACCCCCCTACAAATATCGAACATTCAATAGAACAAGAACATTCAATAGAACAAATATCGAACAAGTTTCAGCCGCGAAATTCCAATGCAAACATGCGACTTCACGATTGGTTGGCAACAGCCACGGCTTACACAACAAGCACTGCTCAACGTGGGTGCTGGCTACCCGTACGTGGCCACGCAGAATGTCGAATGGCTCTGACCAGCTGGGCTTAAATCTTTCCTTGGTTAAGGGGAATGTCCCACATTTGAGGATACTGAATCAAGCATCAAAGATGATGAGAAAAGTTCACTTATGACTGTCGGTATACTTTAAGTGGAAAAGACAGTTCACGACAAACACAATTTCCCCATTTAGTAAATCTGCTCTTAAATACGTCATGGTCTGATTGCGTCATGCTACCTTGCATAACATTGACTCAGGGCCAATTAACCGCCGTCATGTCTGGCAATCGCGCTCACGAAAGCCAGATGTGATTGGCTCGACAATTTTATCTTTCTTGGCCTTGATCGACGCATGGACAATTAAATGGTAGGATTTTGATCACGTCATTGTGACGTCATGCATTCCAAGGTGACCTTGAAATACTCTCACACATCTTTGCGGGCCTTTAATCTCGGGAACCAAAGCGTTTTGGGTCTCAAAAGGCATGGCCGCGAGCTGCATGGAAACGTCTTCAGTACAGCTTTGGCAGTTCACAAACTCTCTACAAATGTGGAGCACTCCCCTTGGCTTGAAGTATCGACCACCGCCTGAGCTAGGCGTGAGCCGGATCACTTTTTTACCAATGTATGAGTTATAATTGGTCTTTGCGTAGCGTCTAATGCCGGAAATTTCAGCAACCTATGCTGTTATTTTAGTAAACACCGATACAGGTAACGAAATCACGCTTCTTGCCGAAAGATTGGTCAGACCGATTCGGTCATTTGTTTGAAACACCCGCTTACTCCGTTGTTAACACTTAACGACCTTTCGAAACTCACAATATGTATATATATATATATATATATATATATATATTGTATATAGTATATTGATATTGATATTGCATATAAGGCATATATATATATATATATATATATATATATATATATATATATATATATATATATATAAACACGTGGTGACGGGCTGAACATTGAATGAGGAAGCAGGCATCTGTATTTTATATGTAGGTATATCTTACAGCATGGGAAATGTCTATAACAATATATCTATAATCTATAAATATATAGCCATATAACAAATAAAAGGTAATATCTTATACTAAGGGAAAACTCTGGCGTTTGGCCGCTTTAAAGTCGAGAGCTGTTCGTGACACACACTCCCGAAAACCAGGCATTTTTCTTGACGCATACGTACAGGGACCAGCAAGGTGGGTGTCCCTGGACGACGAACGGGGCGGCCAGCAGTGCGACACCCGACCCGTACACCACGGGGTAGCAACGTCATCCGTCTTGTCCAGTCGCACGTACGCGGCGCACCGCATCCCTCCCCCACCCCCACCAGCCTACCTACCGACTGAGTAGACACCGCCGGGAGCTTCCGATGCAGCCGCGACGCCTGGTGAAAGTCGGAGTAGCCGTGGATGTATGAGTCGAAGTGCAGGGCGGTGCAGGGATCAGGTGCAGCACCTGTGACGGCAGGCCAACGGTGAGGGCGTCGCCTGCTGGCAGCGCGGGCCAAACCACCAGCGGCACAGTCAACAGCACATAGTCAGCCGGCGTGTGCATTGGTTTTCTGTCTGACCTGCCGCCTTTCCAGCAGTTCGGCACACGACACAACAACGTACTCTGTTGCGGCTGTGTCACCCCGAGTCACGGCACTTGTCATCAACAGTATCACGCTGGCGTGGCAGTGTTCCACCACTGCGACGAGATTACAGCTGCCTTAGGTAATCCGGCCCTATCAGACCACGCGCTTGCCAGCAATGCCACCTGGCAATACAATAATGGAGAAAAAAAACGAAGAAACGGCCTGATCTTTTCCTGTTCATACAACGTACTGACGTCGTTGTCTTACGCGCATCATATCGTGAAAAGTATTCGGAGGTGGGGCAAAACTAGGACCAAGCAGCTCAACCTCCAAAAAATGTAGCTTCCTTATGGGATTTACGCCACTGCAATAAACAACCTAAGACGAGCTTGGGGCTTCACTTTTTGCATCAAATAATCAAAAATGAATTAACAAAGTAGTCAGGGCCATTTACTACGCCCCAGGGACATTTAAAATATTTTAAGTTTTCGTTAATTTTGTTATGTTCCAGCACACACAATGAAGATTACAACGAAAACTGCGGCCCTTATCAACCATAAAGGGAGGGAGCTGGTTTCTTTGTTGTTCTTTTTTGCAAGGCGCACGGGTCTTCAATAAAAGGATGGAGTAAGGCTGAAGGCTGAAGGAAGGCTGGAGAACCGTTGCAGGAAGTCGCCCTGTGTAAGGCTTAAGTTATTCCATGATTTCGTCATGTTCCAGCAAACAGAGAGAAAGCAATGGGGGATCAAACCAAACACTGAGCACCAAGCTCAACATTGGCAGGAGGGGGCGGCGGGTCCCTAGAAACGAGCAGATACCGACAGCCCTGCGCTGGTCGTCCTGCGAGATCTGCCGCAATACGGCCACTTCCCGCCCGAAACAATCCCGTACGATTCTTGGTACTGTGACCTTCCGAATGTCGAAAGCATGTTAATAAACAGAACCCATCGGCTTTTTCCTTTAGCGACTTATTTATGTTGAATGTGTCTGCATGGGGACGTCTGATGGCACTTCGAGTACCGAGCTGGGGGCTTGACCTTGCTTGATCTCATTCGACCCGAGGGTCATATAAGATCAAGCAACGTCATATATTACCTAGGGGCCTCAAAATTGGACACAAATCAGTCATATACATGCCTACCTACCCTATGAATTTGGTGTCTCTAGTCCTCTCTTAATTTTGGCAGCTCAGGGGAGGGGGTAAAAACTGCCCCCTCCCAACGCGTCGCATTCGGACCGGTCACACATGTGCATACACACAGGCCTCGAATCAACGGGATGCAAAAGCCGTCGGTTTCGAAACATAAAACATATGCTAGTTTTAGTTTTCAATGTCATGCTGGCATTTTGGAACGGGAAAATAAAAGCCCAGAACCAAACATTGTTTCAGTGTATTTTCAGGCCAGTAGCAAACATGGTGGTCTTATACGCTAACTGTGCCGTATATGTATTAATTAGATTTACAGAGTAAATTAGCTGCTGATGCAGCTTGAATTAAAAATTCAGAACTGTTACAACAAATCATTCATTTTTGACATGCCGAAAAACAACTTTCCTTGAGCTGGCGGCTGAGACATCGAATCAGTTTGGTGAGGGAAGAGGCAAAAAGGAAGATGGGTTTTTATTGATGACGGGGAGTCTGGAGAGAGGGCCAAGGCCGGAGTGGTACCACGCCGACTTGGCAGTGCCCGGCTTCAATGGATGGCATGCGGGAAAAGACATTTACATCATTCAGACAGTTACAAATAAAACAGGTGCACTGCAAATAATGAAATGGCTTGAGCCTCGCTGCATTTGGACCGGGGGTTTGGTAAAGTCAAAGGCACAGGTGCAGGTTGGCTGGTCGATCCTATAAGAGGGAACTTTCAAAATGATTGATATTAGCTTCTGCTATTCTTGTCTGTTGACCTCCTTTGTCACCGAGGTAAAACGCCTCTGATTTTACCTGTGAGATGTCTGAAAAAATCTAGTCACCGTTTTAGGCGCTTGCCATATACGGCATTCATCATCCTACCAGGCATGTCGTTTGTCGCGCTCACGCTCACGCTCACGCTCACGCTCACGCACACGCTCACGCACGACACACGCACGCGCACGCGCACGCACACTTGTCTAGCCTGCGGCGGCCACTGTCGCCTTTTGGCCCGTGTGGTGGTGGCCGGGCCAGAGATGGCGCTCGGTGAGACCAGCCGGTGGCGCGGTCCGAGCCCTACTCACCCCGCTGCAGATCCAGGAACGATGTGCAGCAGCGTCTGTAGTGTGCATGTCTCCAGGCCGCAGTCGTCATATTTGCAGAAGAAGGGGAACGGCAGCAGCAGCACAGCCAGCAGCAGCGCCACCTATCAGGGCAGGCCCAGGCCGGTGAGCATGGTGGCTGGCTGGCAGTCATTAAATTAACATCACCTCTCGATGCAATGGTTATGCATTCTAAATGGCATCCTCACACATTTTCGTAGTCGTCTTCATGGTGTCGACTGTATCGCGCAGCGCGCGACGACTGAGCGGGGTAAAGCTACCTATCAATAAGGGCAATCACTGACACCCTGGCGGACGCTTTAGGAAATAAAGTAGTAATTCCGGCCCTATTTAAGTACGTTGGCACAACCACTTTACGGCATACTTTTCCTTCTAGCCGATAGAATTCACGTAGTGAAAGCCTGCTTTTCACAGAGCTATGAATCGAATTATTACTGGCTAGTTCCCATGAATTCGGTACAAGGCGAAAGATCGTGTCACTGTCTTGAGCCGATCCTTTTTTAGAAGAACTCTCGCCGTACACCACGTCAGACTTTTCGTGCACGGTACGCCGTGAATTCCCGACTTTTTCGACATGTTGGTCTCAGTAGCTCAATCGGTGAAGTGCTTGACCCGTCATCAAGATGTGTGTTCGAAGCCGTGACGTTTTAGAACTCTCTACCAGTTCGCTACATAAGATGCTGAATAGTTTGCTCTCAGCCAATGCGTGCTGTCAGTGTAATGAATTGTACAACTCCGTGAGAGTGTCTTGCAAACATTCTGGCCGTGCCATTCATTCAAATCATAAATACATTCGCTACTGTAGCACTTCCGCTACGCAGCCCTCAGTTGCCCGCTGCCAGCTATTGAGTTTAAATGGAATGTTCCACATTTGTATGGGATTTTCACTGAAATAGCCGCCTGTAAGACCATTCGGTGCAGTTCACAGCCCTGCCTTTCTTAACACCTAATCATGCAGTTCCTGAGGTATACACCCACAAGAATACAGATTATTTTTACAGACTTTTTCAAGGCTTTTCAGAAATGCATGATGACATGGCAACGTCGTTCAAATCCTGCCATTCCGCAGCCTATGTGGCGGTCAAGGCAAAACATAATATTCTGTTGAGCCGTTCAAAACTGGCGTCCGTGAGCTCGATTTCCAAATGCTGCGGATGTCAATTGGCAATCCGTGAATATTTAGCATTCTGCGTAATTTAAACCCGCGTCATCTTTGTGCCACATAATATAAAAAGTTGGACGTTCCCCCATTTATTACTAAAATAAGACTTGCCACTTCAAGCACCGTGCTTCCTTCTCTCAGTGAGTTTAAAGTACTGCAAGGGAGTGTTAGGGTGGCAGAGGATGTTGAAAAGCTGGTTTAGTTAAGCATGACCGCCTGAAAATGCACCATGGCCGTGGTGGAAACAATCTAAAACTACTGCCCGCCACATTACGGATGGATTACGCACTGCGCCCTTACACGAAGCCATCAACACCAACTACCAACGAACAGGTGGAACGGGTGTCCGGGGGAACGGGGAACCGAACGGGAACAATACAGATCTCATACCGAAGTTGAGCAGACTAGAACCGAAGTTGTGGTGGGGGGGTGGGGCCTGAATGGAGGCGGTGATTTACTGTTTCCGGAAGTCTTCCAAAACAAATTCATACCGTCCAAAGATGAGACTGAGGCGTATATTTTCACCGTTTTGGGGCACCCGCCGCACAGATTAACAGCTACAGCAGCACGACTCAGTACAGTACAGAACACAGCTCAGTAAAGTACAGTGCAGTTTTGTATAGTACAGTATAGTTCTCGCGTTTTTACCAAAAATTACGCCTATTACGTTCACAATAGGTAGCGTAGTCTGGTTTCTAATCTAGAGGAAGATGCGTCACCAGCCATGGGGCGATTCTCGGCCGGGCGAGGGCTTGTTGCTCAGACCACGTTCAGAAGTTAAGGTTTAGACTGGTAGGCGATAGGATGCCGGCTATTGCAGGAGCACTTATGCCAATCTAGCCCCTATTCAAATTTTACATGGTTAATGTCGTTTGCTCTACGCAACGTCTCTTCACTAACGACACTTTGCTCTGCTCGGGAGCAGCTCGCCGCCGCTTCGCCGGCCAGTGGCCGGCCGGCGGATACGGCCGAAAATCGCCAGCCCTCGCCGGCATCGTCAGGTGATATTAGGGGCTACGCTACATCAGGGGTTATGAGACACTGGGGGTTATGATACGTCAGGTGCTTTGATATATTAAGAGTTGCGGTACATAAGAGGTTACGAACATCAGGGATTACAATACGTTAGGCGTTATGAAACATTCGGGTCATTACGCACTAGGTGTTCTGATACATCAGGTGCTGTGACATATTAGAATTTGCGAAACATTACGACTTGTGAAACATTAGAGATTTGATACATCAGGCCTTACGATACATTGGGTGTAGGGACACATTTGGGATTACAATATATTTGGAGGTCATGGACATAAGGATTTGTTATACGTCACGAAATGTAATGCCACGGCACAGATGGCGTTCAAATCTAGGCCCTCATGGAGCCAAAGGTACTAACCACGCAGTCATTACGTCCCCCCCCCCCCGCCCCCATTTCACGGTCCACTGGGACATTATGTCTCCATCCGACCTTCTCATACTGTCAGCTGCGTTCCAGTTAAACGTCCCCCCCCCCCCGCCCCCACAAAACTCAAAACTAAACAATTTACACTTTCAGCTGCATGCTACGCGTCGATAACAGAGAATTTACGAACGTTGCAGTTCTATGCTTCAATTCATTCGGTGGCAACAATCACCATGCCGTTGGCTCAAGCCGACCGTGTTATTAGATTCAGCGCTGCAATTTTCACGTGGCCATGAGGTGATGGGCACGTGGAGGTGACTCCGAAAGGTGAGCGTAAGGCTGTGTCGCGGCCCTCTGCGCGTGCAGCCGGCCAGCGCACACTCACCAGCAGCACCATGTGGACGGCTATGCAGGGTGTGACGCGCAGCGGCCGGAACATGGGCTCCAGGTCCGAGACGACCGAGTGGCGAGACGGCACATCCTCCGACGGCACCAGGCTCTCCTCGTCAGAGCGCGCCATGCTGGACGCCGAGCCAACGCTCGACTGAAACTGAGCCGTCCAACACGCGGTCACACCACGGCCGGCTCTGTCAGGCGGCGGGCACGAAGGACGGGCGTAGGTGGGGGGCTGACGACACGCGGCACCGGCGTTGAACGACGCCCCAGGACGGGCGGTACGATCCCCGCCGCACGTCCGTCACGAGAACACCCAAGGCGGCACGTGACCACAAGCGAACCGGCGCAGCCGCATGGAGCGTCTGAGATGGATTAGCGCTAAGCGATTAGGTGGTGTGGAGAAACACCTTTCACTATTGTGCCCCGCTGGACTTGGTGCTCCCCCCCCCCCCTTCACACACACACACACACAAATCAAGGCCGCGGATTTTGGCCACTTCATTCTCAGATGACTACACTCACAGATAAACCGCATAACGCATACCGAGTACTTCCTTCCCCGGCGACCACAGCGGCTAGAGTGATTCTGCCATGAAGCTTACGGTGGGTGATGTGCAAAACGTCCCATGAACAGTGAGCTAACACGAGGGTAAGAGTGGCGGCCCGGAACGTATACAGCGCCAGATGAAGGAAGTTCGACCAATGGGCGTCTGTGACAAGGCTACGCCTACTTGCACGGCCGCTGGAGGCAGGGAGAAGGCCGGTGCTGGCCAGCTGACGGACGGCGTCTCGAAACGCCTGCGGTGCTGCCACCGGGGTGCCCTCAGCAATAGAAACCGTACCGCTTCACCATTTTACCCGCACCATTTCACCACTTTCCCCGTACCATTTCATCACACCCCACTTCGACTCGCACGCGATCGCCGTGCATATCGAGGGCTGGACTGTCTGGTACATTAACTGCAACGAGGAGGTCTTGCTCAGGTACGGCTAGAAACCACACGAAACTGTGCAGTTCATACCTAACAAAGATGACATGTCAGCAGCCAGCTCCGTTGCCAAAGGAAGACGCTACGGACGCCATGAATGAGACTGGCGGCAGGACGCGGCCTGCAATACGGTCACTCGGCCTACGGGCCTCCAGAACATTAGCAGCGCGTGCTCCCTGAACGCGGTGCTGCAATGCCTCAGCAATGCCAGCGTTGCAGCCCACTACCCGATGTTCCAGCTCCCTTAAACCGGATCCAAACACGGAAATGGTCACTGCCCATGGTGTCATCTCCAACGCTGCAGTCCAGGTGCTGAGCCGGCTGGGGAGCAGAGAGACTATGGCCTAGCGCCGACGCCTGACCGAATACTATGCTGAATGTAAAAGAGTTCCTGCATTTTAAAGGAATGTTTCACATTTGAAAATATCGAAGCCAGCATCAGATATGATAAATATGCTCATCTACAATTATTGGTCTAATTTTAGGTGGAAAAGAGTGCTACCTTTCAAAAACGCCATCGTGCCTTGTAATTCATCGTAACTGTCACCCTTTGATTACGTCATAGTACTTGCACGACACTGACTGCGAGTCGATTGAAAATTGTTGTATCTGGAAATCGTGCTCAAGAACGCCAGATATGAGCGATTTGATACCTATGTGTTTTGGCCTTGACCACCGCGTGACTAATGGGATGCCAGGATTTAAATGACGTCAATGGCGTCATGGATGCCTGGTTGAGCTTGAGATAGTGTCCCCCCCCCCAAAAAAAAAGTCTGCACATGCTCGCGGACGTATAGCCCAGAAATAAGAGGGGTTTAGGTCTAAGACCTAAATCCCTCTAGAACGTCCTAACAGAGAAGCCAGGATTAAAAGTCAAAGTCAAGTCAAAACCCCATGTAAATGTGGAACACTCCCTTACGGATACATAGTGCGGCGCCATGGACACGATTACCAGAAAGCTTCCAGAAGTACTTCTGATGTCACACACTCAAATAGAGTGATGTGCGTTAAGGCCGCCCAGAAGCAGAAGTAGTGGAGGGAGTCCAAATCGCACATGCACATGCATACCAACGGAAAGGCGAAGCCTGGTGGAGCGTAAGCGAACAAACAGTTATGTGACGGTGATTAAGGCGAGGTCGCACGGCCACAGCCTGGAGCTTGGACCGCAGTCCTTACCCTCCTGGCTACACGCTATGGTGAACCGCGAGGAGTACACCACCGTGTGTAACGTGCTCTCCGTCAACGCGTCGTTGCGAAACATAACACATTTCTTCCACGAGCAGCAATGTGCAGACCCTAGCTATCTCCTGCAGCGCTACGGGTGTGGGAAAGAGCTTGCTGACGACAGCTGGAGATCTAGGGCATTCGCCCTGATCTCCCAAAGTTCCATTGTAAAAACGTCTATACAAGAGCGCATTGAACAGGCGGTAAAAAGTGACAAGCTAAAACCAGACACAGCTTAAAAGAACTAGATTGCGCCAATTCCAGAGCCAGACGCCTCCGACCGAGAGCTGCGGCCCCGTGCCCCACCTGAGACGAGTCCCGGCGCTCCCTCCGTCAACTGCAGGCGGAGGACCCAGTGGGATACATTTTATGCCGGCATACCCAGTCCGGGGTGGCCGCGGGGGGGGGGGGGATCCATCGATGGGCCTTTACCAGATGTCTGGAGACCAGTAAGGGCCTTAACCGGCCTTCTGCGTGATGAAGTGTTGTTTCGAGGGACGGGCGCTTTCTTTGACTGCCTCGGACAGACGAGTTGCCGCCTTGGTACCCTCCAGCTCCGCCCGGCACGCCAGGCAGGCTCCACCAGGCACGTCCGCTTGGTATCGCAGGCGCGCCCGTCTGCTTCGTAGCGCTCCATTGTCTCTGACGCTCGTCCACGCGCACTTGCCAGTAGCGTCGGAGGCGACGAAGGCAGTGACGTGTCCAGAGAGGAAGCAAACGGGGGCGACGGAGTGTCCGACGCGGGTGTCGGCGGAGGCCGCGGACCACAGCTGCGTCGGACTACCATCAACCCCTCCTTTCCAGGAGCGACAGCGGCGCAAGGGAGGAGGCAGCGTGAGGGCTGCCAGGCGTGCCGGCGTCGCGGGGAGGGGGCGGGGAGGGGGGGGGGGGCAAGGACCCCGACGGGCGCCGGCCGCCTGTCCCACCGCCACTACTGAGAGCCCGCAGGGTCTCGAGCGCGAAATAGGTTGTAGATCTGACATTTTATCGATGGTAGTGTGCTGTGGTGCTAAGCTTTTGGATTCTCTCCAAAGGACGTTCCGATGTGACTCACCTCGTTCAGTTAACCCACGCGAAATGGATGTTCCTGGCGTTATACAGAGAAATGGTTTCCTTCTCTTCCATGAGGGTCCGACAGCCCAGGTCAAAGATCGTGTGGGATACCTGATCAGTACCCCAGTTCGCGCGCCATGGCTGCACAGCGTCACACTGGTCCCCTTCGTATTCAGACAAGGCACACTTGCCACAGGCTGGTCGGCTTCGGCAAAGTGGTTTCGTGTCACTGAAATGCTGGCACTGGGAGCCGCGCACAGGACTGAGAACGTTCACTCGAACTTTGCCGACGATGTGGCCAACGCGGATATGAGGTTATATGATATGATGCATATATATATATATATATATATATATATATATATATATATAATATGGCACATATGACGCCAGTTATGGTACCGTAGTGTAGTGTTAACACGACTGCGTTAATCACTGCGCGTCTGGGAAATCAGAGGTACGGGGTACGATTCCCCGCGGTGCCCGCCCTTCCTGCCAGGGTGAGAGGCAGGCGACGCCATACAGCCTCAGCAGCTAGGTGCGACCTAAACCCCTAATGACGCACACACACACAGACATGGCCATACATACACAGATATGATTTTTGCGCCACATCAGCAACTAGGGCATGTCAAACCGTGATAATGAATGGCTTTTACTAAGAATTATGGATTTTTCTTTTGCGCAATTAGTCACGTTTTGTGCCAAATCGCTGCACCCAGGGCACGGATGCACTAGGGAGTAGCATGCGTTAATGAGGAATGGAACGGACAATCACGTGACTTGGATTGTGGCGTCACGTGTGCACGAGCCAGGAAATTAACTAAAAACGGCCGCTACCGACCGTTTTTCACTGTTCGATACAACGCAGTGTTGTTAAATGTAACGGCAGTGCGTGCTGTCATCATTCAAAAGGCTGACAGTTGGTGGAAGGGGCAAAAATCACCGACGACGTCCCGCGATCATTCGCCGATCCCATGGAATAGGTTCGGGCTGTGTTGCAGAGAGCGCAGGCGAAATGCTCTCTCTCCTGCCGCCAGAGACCGTCAGCACCTTGCGCGGCCTGCGGCCGACTCTTTTTCACACTTACGCGATATCTCTAGGCCACTAGGGCACCTACAACCATGATTTCAACCGCAAAAGATGCATAATGAAAATTTTCAAATTTTGCATCAGTGCAGCGAAGCAGGCGCGTAAGCGCTTATGGAAACTAAAATCGCATTGTATACGGCTTCAATTTCCCGTCCCTCCCAAAAAAGGCCAGTCTTCCGAAGCGGGGACGGACCACGGTCAGTTGAGGCGCGGAGCGGAAACAGGAGCTGACGGTGCCGACGCGACACAGCGTATGAGTTACTGAGTTTGTATATGCTATCACGACCAACGATGAAAAGCGAAACATGAGTGTGCCGGTGACAGCTACCTGCCTTATTGTGTATATTACTAAGGCATGCACACTATTACAAGGCACTTGTGTATCTTACTAAGGCACTAAGGCATGCACCGTGTGCAGAGCCGTAGCAGTTGAAAACGAAATGCAGGCCAAGTTTGAATGTCATGCAGTGTGCCTTTTCACCTGCCCCAGTTTCAGAGCCGTGGCAACATGCTGCTGACACAAAATGAATTGATGCAATTGTAAATAATGAACAGCTAGCTAACAAAAGAAATGCACTGGTTTGAACACCATCATAGATGAGTAACACTGTATGATGAAACTCTGTGCTTGTTGTAAAATTAATCCCAAACTAAAAACTAGCTGTTTGGCAAAAATCAATGAGTCAGTACAGGCACTCACTGTTAACAAAATAGACCTATAATTTTGCATTTGTTGTGGCAGATACAAATTTTCTGTCATTTGTTGTGACAGCAAGTGTTGTGCAGCCCAGAGTGACCACACCATTCACAGCATTCACAGCTTACAGCAGCATGCTGAAAAGTAATAATAGGTTGCTTCAGTGAATGCAATGCTTTCACATCCACGCAGTGCAGCAGCTATGGCCGCTTCAATCCAAAGCATTGCTCACACAAGTAATAATGCCTGTAACAACAGGAAAATGTTGACTCACAAGCAATGCTAGCATGCACATAAAATTTGTTAAGGTGGTAGTATTTGCATGCACAATAATACAGTACATTACTTTTCTTAAGACAAATGCACTTTCCAAAACCATATCATATCATAACTATGGCTGCTTGACTCTATATGCTGCTGTCCACAGCACTGACTGGGAATGAAACCCAAAATAGTTTTCCTGATACCAGATTTCAAAATAATATTCAGGAGTACTTAAATGAAAAACTGAGCATGGGGTTAGAGCCATGCAAGCCCTCCCTCTGTATGCAACAGCATCTGAGCACATGCCCACTACCTACAGCTGGCTAAATGGCAAACAGGGTGAACTCAAGCAGCATGGGTTCAACCCCACCTTTAAGACGAGCGTCCACAAGCGTCACCTTCTTGTCAGATGAGGCAGGCGACGTAACTTCAGCGGCCGAGTGCGTAGTTAGACCCAATAACACACGAGAGCATCCCGCACCCGCATTGCTATTACCCTCCATCACTCCATGCCCACCACGCAACGCAATTTTCAATTCAATACGTACCAATCGGTCCACGGCTCCCGACGGACGTTGCCCCGCAACAAAGCTTGGCGTACCCACATCCATTTCCGTTGATCTCTCCATTTACTTCCTTGCGGTAGGTGGGGAGGGGGATATTTTGTTTTCAAGTCGCTAGAGACTTTTCCTGATAAAATATCTCAAGTTATGCTTGGGAGTTCCAGCGCGTATTTATTCCAGCACATATGGAAATTCCACTACTAGTAAAAAATTGTGGAAGGCTACCAGATTCGAAAAATTCTCTTACTTGCGCACGTAATACCAAACAAGCATTTGAAGCTTGCACACATCAAATGCGTTGTGTATGCTCGGCGCGCCTGACGTCATTCGAGCCTGCACGAAGGGGTCAAAAGATCGCAACGATGCTGGGCACTGTGAGCAAGGTTTGTTTAGTCACTTTTAGTCCTTAAGTTTAAGTTAACTCTTTTGACTCTTTAAGATAGTCACTCTTTAAGTGGGTTCCTGGTTTGGTTTCCACTGGTCCTGATTTGTGACTAGGCTGTGACTTTGTCCTGGTCTGATGCAAAGCTGAGCTTGTATCATGAATTATGTTAGCAAGTTAAGCATAGGCATGATTATGTCTCTGAAAGTGCGGAGTGAGATAGGGGTCTGCCCAAAGGTTGGTTCTCCCTGGTGCCAACAACCTCTGGTCCTGATAGGGGTGGGGGGGGGGGGGGCGGTGTCGAGCGACCCCCAAGGCTTCTTGAATATAACTCTCCGAATGTCGTGCAATCGCGCCCGAATTTTTGGTAACTCATGGGGCATCTATTTGTACGTATTTTGACACAAAACAACGCGCCCCTAGCTCTTGTGGTTTCGGAGCAGCGGCGGTTTCTGAAACAATACACGGCGATCTACGGTCGGCCGGCTGGGGGACAGAAAGGGAGTGGGACGGCAAGCGACGATGCCACGGAACGCGCGCGGGGGTATGGTATTGTTACATTAACGTATCCATACATGATCAACACACGGTTAAAATGCGTAAAACTATGTACCATTGCTCTCATAATTAAACAAGGAACGCGTCTGTCCGAATCTCATATTGATACGAGGCATGACCTCGTATGCATAATGCAGTAAACCTGCAATGGTGCGATTTCAAACATTCGTGATGTCACTTGATGCAGACAGTTCGCTGACGTTGGTTAGGTGCGTATGCACTATGTTCACCTTTAAATGACCAGTAACTCGAACGGCATGGTGCGCAAACGTCGTCGAGCCCAGCGAAGACGTGCAGGGGACGAGCTTCATGTGCTTATCCTTATCGACTTAGGGGCCCCTGATCAGCCGCAGAGCCCTCTGACTGACATTTGAGTGCCCGGCCCTGCGGGTCGGGGCCCCGGAATGAGACCTCCGATGGGCCTTTCGGGCCCTTCGGTCCTCAAATCTGGCCCTTAATCGTAGGTTCTAGGCACGTGCTCCCTGTGCCCCCCCCCCCCCGCCTGTGCTTTTAGGACCCCGACAAGGACATAAGGCTCTCCATTCATATAAGAAATACCCACGACACAATGAAGAGGGCCCCTGAACGATCGAGAGCATTCGAATAAGAAACACCTAAGACCCAGTGTAGAGGGCCCCCGAAAAATCAAGCGTGCTCGAGCAGGTTTTCAGAAGGTCCCCGACAGGGGTGTTGGGCCCTGAATTCAAGTGCCCAATGTGCAGGGCCCCATGCAATCCAGTGTGCCCGAGCATTTTAACAGATGGGCCATTGGCAAGTGTGTAGGGTCCTCCATTGAAATACAAAGTATCGAAGACCCAATCTGGAGGGCCCCAACGACATGTGTGCCCAAGCAGGTTAACAGATGGAACCCGAAAAGAGCGTAAGGCCCAAGCGAGTGACAGAGAATTTGATGGGTACTAGACCAATGAAGAGGGCCCATGAGCGTATCGCGAGTTTGTCGGGAGCTTAACCGAGACCAACGTGGAGGGCCCCTGAGCAACCGGGAATATCTCGGCAGGTTTCCATAGAGGGCCTCCGGCTATAGCGTACAGAGCCTTTTGGGCGAACGGAGAGAATCCGTGGAAATTAACCAGTGGGCCCCGGCACTCCGGCAGGAAGGGCCCAGGAACAGCGCAGGGCCCTCCGGGCAAATTCAAAGAAATCGGGTGCAACCTGGAAGGCTACTTAACGATCGGAAGCATCCTGCAGGTAGACATTTAGGCACCCGGAAGCAGTAAGGGACCTCAGGATAGCCTAATTGGCCTTAAAATCCCCCAATTACGACCCTCTCAATCAGTGAGAATTACTTTTGTTTACTCGTGGGCCCTTCATTTTCGCTTACGGCCGCTCTAGGTCACCAGGAAGCCTTAAGACGTCAAATTTTGGTGCGTCTGTGTTAGAAAATGCGGTGCGTATACACCCTTCAACTGTTGTTGGCTGACGGTCGCAGTTCATGATGGTCACTGCTCAGCAGCCAATCAAGCTTGAAGTAAATCAGCTGTCAGCATCCTGTTTTTTGGCATTACAATAACTACGCACTTGCGCCGAACGCGCTAAAGACGAGATCACCGGAATTCTTCCGATATATTCAGGATTGTGGCCTTCGTCGTCGTGGTTTGGTACGTGGTGAGGTGGGTGTTGTGGCGATGGGTTCCCGTTCTAGGGTTAAACTAGACCTGAGTACCGATGTTTCATAGTATTAGTTATTCTACACCAGCAAGGCACTAAATTAAGCATGGTTAAATATATTTTTCAAAAGCTTTGCAAGATTACAATGGGGATCAAGGATTTTGTCGGTGAAGCACAACAGGCATTGCAATCTCCCATGGGATTTGTTGTCTCTTGGAAAACACATGATGGGGACTTAGGGGATTTCCTGGAATGAGTTATCCCTACAAAAGGAAGGATATGGCTCCCTGAAACTGATATTTTGGTGTCATTTAGCTAAATGTTGAATATGGAGCATATCAGGAACTTTGTCAGGGTGAAGGATACATATTTTTTAAAAATATAAATATTGTGGCTGCCATCAATTAAGCTTGTGATGACCCTTGCCCAAGAAACCAGTCCAGGATTTTGTTTGGGGATTGCGGTGCCCATGGAAGTCTGGGCCGCTCAAAAACAAAACTTTCAGAACTGTCGTGGTGGCCCAGGAATTTGGTGCTCGTGTGTAAAAGGCTGTGTGGTCCTGACATGAAGGCTTTTGTGTCTGTTCACAATAACATTTTGATGGCACAAAGGGGCACCAGAGCTTTGTGAGTGACCAGAGGGGATGGATGGCATAGTCATCAAAAGAATGAGACAATCAAATTTTAAAGTCCTGGAGCATTACCATGACACCATTCAATGAAAGATCTTTGTAAATCCCAGTGACTGGTACTTCTGGTAAGAACACAATGCCATCTCAAAATTGTGGTCTTTATGCAGCCTTCTGGAGCAGCCTCAAATCAGCACCATGTGTAGCACATGTGGTGCCCACTATGACAATGAGGTGCTCTGACCAGAAAGTGGCAGTTTTTTCTTGAGTAGATAAGCTGTCTGAACCAAAGGAAGATGAACTATTGATATAGCATGATTTTCATATGCTATGAGATGCCTTTAAAGACACATAACTAAGCTACCAATGCCCATCTGCTGTCCTGTGCTCATCCTTGAAACATGAACTCTTGAGCATAAACACAGCTTGAAATGTTTGTTGCTTTCAGTAGAATTTTTGGCAGTAGAACAGCTTTTACCTGTGTCTGGGAAATGGGATGGGTAAAGTTCATGAGTTGCCCCCTCACCCAACATCCCAATGAGAAATGCTTTGCTCCACCCCTGTATTGACTCCATGTCCAGAAATTGTTGGCTAGCATGTATCAAACTCACCTCTCAGATTTATAGCCAGCAGCTCTGGTATTGTAGTTAACTCTGAAAATGTTTTGTGTGACATGTTTCTTGGCAGCCTGGTTGTCTGGTCTCTAACTAGATTTTATTCTGCTTCCAGGTCAGTTATGCTAAAATTTGCACCTCTCACAGTACTAAGCACAGTCTCAAGTGGGGTTTTGCTGGTTGTTCCATATCTGTGTGTGGCTGTGATATCAAGTGTTGTGTATGTGCATATCATAATGAAGCTCACAGTTGACCTGTGGAAATGCATTCACTTACAGCAAAATCATTCTCTAAATTGAAACTTCTGGAAGGCTGTAGGAGATGTATTTAGTTCATCTAGTATGATTTGGTTTGAGTGTTTTCACTGTACATTACAACAGCATGCAAAAGCCATCTCATACTTACTCTGGGCAGGGAGGCAAGTGTAATGAAATGACATATTGGTCAGGGCAGCACTAGCCCATACTTTTAGCTGATAAGATGAAAGAAGTAAATTATAGGTGAAATATTTTAAAAATATAGATTAGGTAAACCACATTGATTTAGGTTGATTTTTATGTCTCTGAATCAATGGCCAGGATCATTATGGTTTCTGTTATGACTTGGGTACTCACCCTTTTTTCTGGCCTAGGTGGCTGTTTGGTATTCAAACAGCTCCTGTGATTATTATATATTAGTGTTCACTAATTATTTTTTAAATGTATTAATATCAGATGCAGTTGGTGAAACAGTTATATTAGTATTCATATTTCATTAGTTGTAGTTGGTGAAAAGGCCTTGCCTCTAAAGCCAGCAGCTCTAAGAAGTGGATGGTAAACAATGATTATTTATGTTCTCTCAGTGGTTTCTGCAGTAGTGTTGACTGTTAATGGGCTGTGCTCATTTCATAATGCTGGATCGAGTTTGCATAAGGTTTGTTTTCTTCATGCATCTCAAATGAAATCAAGGAGCTTAATGGTGTTCCAGGTGATGCTGCATGAAAGATTTGACCAGAATAGACATGATAGTATTATCATGACTTTTAATCAACACACAAATAACATCCACAGATCCTAACTCGAGATACCTTGATAACTGCTTCCACCATCTGTAGGATGACATCTTCTTCTGGTGTCCTGTCATCCCATAGCAAGAGATGTGTGATCCTCTTATCCATAGAATGGTGTCAGTTTGCTGCTGGCTCACCCATCTCAGCTGCAGCTTATAACAAAAGCAATGGCCCTGTGCTGAAGCCTATATAATCTGGCTTGTAACTTCTGCCCAGCCAGACTGGCAACCATTGGCTACCATGTGCTGTCATCTACCACCCACCAGAGCCATCATTATATGGTTCATAAAGTGACCACCAGTCACAAAGCCAAAAAATATGGGCTAGGCTAGTGGGGAATTGTGTCAAAAACCTTGCTGTAACAAATATTAGTGTTAGCATTGGCTGGATCTTCATGTTGAGTAGTTGATCTGTCCTATTCCTAGATACTGGAGCAAGAAGTTGCTTGAAGGTTATCCACTTGTGCCCAAGCCATGTTTAGCACTGTGAGGATTTCTTGTGTGTTTATGCCATTGATCATGGTGCTACAATTACACAGGTAGTTTGCACCAGGCATCAGCTATACCAACAAAACTGCAGTTTCTCAGGCAATGGTTGTCCCATTTTTGAAAGTATAAATAACCTCATCCATCTTCCAACCCTGATGCTGGTAACCAGTTGCCAGACCTGCAAAAGAGTTGGGCTTATCTCCCTGGCAGCAAGCACACTGTTCCATGCAGGGTTCTCAGTAAGACCCCTGTGGTCAGAGTGAGCTTCCCCATCTGGGGATCTTCGGCGCCCCACCTGACTCCTGGGGCGCGTACCCCCACCGGTCTCTATCGCGCAACAACAGGCGCGGAAGGCACCCCGGCCGGAGCCTGCTCATCATGCCCGCTGTGCCGACCGTGACGTGCCGCGCCTGTCCCCCAGTGACGTGAGGCTCCGGTGAGCCGGTGAGCGCGGCTGCCATGCGCGCTCCGGCGCTGCCGCACGTGACCGCCTGCCGCGACCGCACCGCCGAGCTGGCCGCCGTGCTGCGCTCCCTGCGCGAGCGCCAGCTGGCGCCGGCGCCGGCCGGTCACGCCGCGCGCCCGGCCGGCCTCCTGCCACACGTCCAGTTCATGGCCATTGCGAAGCTGATCGGCAGGGATGTCGCGCAGACGTACGCCAAGCTGGAGAAGCTGACGCTGCGTGAGTGGCGGCGCCGTGTCTCTGGCAACGGGCGTGGGATCCGTTGTGGTGGTATGCAGGGAGCAGCGCATGTATGCCTGGGGCCCAGTTCGAGTATACATGACTGTTTGCGGAGACATGATAATGCACTGAAACTTACATCTATGTTGGGTAACCTACGAATGGTCTTAGTGGTGTTTTTAAGACGCCTTTCATCCGGGATCAAAGAACGTATGATTACTTTCGACTTAAAGTCTTATGAAGGTGGGAACACCCATTATCGATTATGCTTTCATCAGCTCTTCCCAGGATTTGAAGTGGTGAAGAATGGTGCTTTAAAAGCCATCTCATATGTAATGTATGACGTCTCTATATTGACATGCGTGCCTCCTCTGTCCGTGCCTTCCGTGCTGCCAATGGCGACCTTTGCTCCAGTGGCCAAGCGAAAGTCCATATACAACGACCGGCCGCTGGAGATTGAGGAGCTGACACACATCATAAGGCAGGACATGGCCAGTTTGAACAAGCAGATCCTGCAGCTGCAGGAGTTGGGCCGCGCCCGCACGCCGGCCGCTGGCCAGCACGTGCAACACTTCTCCAGTAACGTGGTGGTGACGCTGCAGTCCAAGCTGGCTGCCATGTCGAACCAGTTCAAAGGCGTGCTGGAGAGACGCACGGAGGTGAGCAGCGCCGTGGCTTCGGTGTAGTAGTGATGGTGGTGGTGGGGGGGGGGGGGGGGACGAACGCTGGGCAGAGTTATGGTGACCCTCCGAGTCACCAACGGACCTGGAAACTGACCCTCCGATTGTGCTGTGGTGCAGAACCTTCTCCAGATGGGATTCGCGATGCGCCTCGCTTGGAGACCGCGCACGGTATATATGGAGTGTTAACGGCCCTGCCCTTCCTAAACATAAACCCTTCTAGTTTCTTAGCTACACCCGCGAAGACGTGCGCACTATTCCAAGCTCATCCAGGCATCCATGACGTATTAATGACGTCATTCAAATACTGGCGTTCCATTGGCCATGCAGCGATTAAGGCAATGCAAATATAATTGTTGAGTCGTTCATATCTGCCGTTTGTGGACACAGTTTCCAGATAGGAGGGCTTCAGTTGGCTCTTAATCAGTGTTGTGCAATCTGCGATGACGTGATCAATGACATATTGAGCTGCGTATTTACTTAACGAATAATTTGTGTTGTCTAGAACAGTTATTGTCACCTAAATGGTACCATTAGTTATAAATTAGCTTATTTCAACATTCCCTTATACTGCACTATGCTGTTATATGCACCGAGTACCCGAAATTTTGATGACATGTGGAACGCCAGGCAACCACTGTCGTGGTTCAGTTATGAAAGTCATTTGTAGAGGAGGGTTGTGAGCTTCCCACAACGTTGTTCAGAGCCAGCGTGTTGTCAGTTCGGCACGCTTCGTGCAGGTTTGGTGAAATTGTAGCTTAATTATTGTGCAGATCATGTTGGCAACCACCATCGCTGATCGCTTTGTCATACCCAGACCGCACGCGCTCGGTGGCGGTGACAGATTCTGGTGCACATATCCTTGCTGTTCTTCTGAATTTTTGGCTTCTATGTGTACAGATTTTGGAAAATGAGAGCTGTTGTATTCGCTCCGTACCTGCGTGCCGGATATGCGTTAACACGCCCTCAGGTTAGCGAGGGGAGGAATTTGACCCCCACCTGGTTTTCCAGAATGGTGGCCGAACGGCGTGGCGTAGTCGCGCGAAACTTTGCATAGTGATAGACAACTGAATGGCGGGACTTTTGGAAAAGGTTGGGTGTACCATGAAGCCCGATAACCTATGGCAGGTCAAAGTCAAGCTGTGGCTGTCAGCGAAGTCCACAGCGAAGCCCCGCTCCCGCCGTGCCGCGCGGACGGCCCCGCTGACTGTGCCGGCGGCGTGCTCCCCAGAGCCTGCGCCAGCAGCGGCGGCGGCGGCAGCAGTTCTCGGGCAGCAGCGTCAGCGCCAGCCTGCCGCCGTCGGCGCTGAGCGGCTGCCACCGCGGCTCGGTGCTACTCGCCGACGAGGAGGCGGCCGCCCGCGCGCACGCGGCCATCGACATGAACGGCGCCGCCGCCTCCCTGCAGATATTCGCCGAGGAGCAGGTCAGGTCACGCTGTAGGCCGGTAGATGCTCGTGTAGGGGACGGGGGGGGGGGGGGGTAGGGAAAGGTGAGCAGGTCAGGGGGCTGCTGGTCAATATATGCTCGTGGGAAAGCAGGTCAGGGCATAGAGATTCCCTGCCCTGGGGTCGTATTCGTCATATTTGGACCGTTGCCCTTTTAAAAATAGACATTTTTCACTTTGTGACACTGGAGTGTTCCCAAATACTTCGGTCCTGAGTACGTCCTCGTCTTCAACTGTTCCTGAGTACTTCTTGGGTACTTGAGTGTTTTTCGTCGCACTCCGTCGGTTTGCAAATGCTGTGCACACGTATGGCACACTACGGTCAGAACTGTGCTAACATTTTCCTCAGCCCCGTCATAGCTTGTGTGCCCCCACGACGACGCCGTGGGAGAGGGGAGGGTGTATCGAGTGCAAGGTCGGTGCACCTGGCCTCCCCCCCCCCCCCGAGATGTCTCCGTGCCGCCCATGCCGCCCCGGAACCGCGCCGCGCTGCCCCCTGACCGTGTTCCGTGCGCCCGACAGGATGCGTTCCTATACGAAAGCCGCTCGGAGGCGATGAAGAATATCGAGTCGACGGTGGTGGAGCTGGGTACCATCTTCCAGCAGCTGGCCCACATGGTCCAGGAGCACGGCGAAATGGTGCAGAGGTGAGCTCGAGGGCTTGGGAACGGTAAGACCTCCCCAGGACTCGCATGTTTTCAGAAGCGTGGAGGGGGGGGGGGGGGCATCCAGCGAGGGCAGGGCTGAGCTGGTGAAGTTCAGTCCAAGGAATATATTTGGAACGGGAGATGAAGACAAACTGCTTGGGCTTGGGCAGAGTGTATGTCTGGGACATACTGGTTGAAATTCACCTTTGAATTATGTTGTAATGATCAGCTGCTGACAAAATATGGTTGGGCCCCTCGGAGCCCACATATCGTGTCGGAACGATACCGCCCGTCGCGTCGTGCTATCGCGCGGTAGTCTACAACATCGGCTGCGCATGCCCGTCGGCTTTGCAGCACGCGACGCTCTCTGACACGCCGTGCGCTGGTGGCACCGGACACGTCGGGTGGCTGCTGTAACGGCTGCCGGGCGTTACAGTGGGCGTGGCCGGCTGATGCGGTGGTCACTAGCCTCCCACGCTAGACGCTGTCCTGCTGCCGACGCCGGTCTGGCCCAGTCAGCAGGCACCCTGCCGCTCGGCTGACCTGGTGATGTCATGCGACCTGACCTGACGTCGCGCCGGCTCGGCAGGATTGACGCCAACGTGGAAGACACGTCGGTCAACGTGGAGGCGGCGCACTCTGAGATCCTCAAGTATTTCCAGTCGGTCTCCTCCAACCGCTGGCTTATGGTCAAGGTGTTCGGGGTCCTCATCACCTTCTTCCTCGTCTTCGTCATCTTCCTGACGTAGCAGGACGCCTGCGTTGCTGAGTCTTCGGATGCGTGCGGCGTGGAAGGTGGTGGAGAGAATTGATATTTGAGTATGTGTAGGGACCATCGTGTGTTTAGCTGGCTCTGTGGGGTGTTGCCGCCAACATGATGTAAGTTGGGGACATGCGCAGCGATGCGGCTAGATGTGTATGAATCACACCAATGCATGCGATGGGTAAGGAGTGCGGTGCGCCCATCAGCTACTTCAAATCAGTGCATGCTGTGTGTTGTGCTTTGGTGATACCTTCCCAGATCGCCCATAGATAGGTCACATTGGCGTAGTCCACGTATGTATGTATCGGCATAATTTATGTCCCTGAGCACGTTTGGAGCCTGACTACCGTGATGATGCTATGGAACATTTGCTTGTCAGCCTTGGTATATTTTAAAAACCACACTTTCGCCATGTGATGTGATGAATTCCCTGTGATGGAAGCATATAATGCGGGCTCCTTGCAGAGGCTGGTACACTGATGCTAGAGTCAGTGTCTATCGTATGGACTTTATGTGTCCATAAACACCTGACGCTCCTTGCATTAGTCAAGTTGAACAAATAGAACAGGGCGTGGTTAGAACAAAACTTTAAGGTCATAAGATTGGGTGATGGAAGAAAGGATATGATAGGATCAAGGCGAGCGCACGTATTCCTCCACTGGCTTACTTGTGGAATCGAGACGCAACAAAGATTAACGTGCGGAAGTAAATGTATGCATTACGCATACTAGACGTTGGTCTGTGCTGCCGCTGACGTGTGTTGCGTGAGGCTGATTCATGGGTGATAGCGGAGGGGTGAGCATAACCGGAGCCGGTGCGCTGCCGGCTGTGGCCTCTCGTCCGGACGTTGTGTGGCCGGAGCCCGTGCTGCTGCCGACTGTGACCCCTGGTCTGGACGTCCGGCGCAAGCTGTTGTGTGGCCGGAGCCGGTGCTGCTGCCGACTGTGGCCCCTGGTCCGGACGTCCGGCGCAGGCTGTTGTGTGGCCGGAGCCGTGCTGCAGGCTGTCGCTCCGTCGACACTACTCGGCGTTGTGTAGCGCAGCGCCAGTGAGCCCAGAGGACCTTTACCATCTCGCCCCCCGGGCTCGTTTTCCCATGGGTTGCGCCATTTTATGCTACCAGCACGGCGTGTATGGTGATCGACGTGCGGTGGTGTTCATTATGCAGGGGTGGACCTAATGTAGGCTGTGATGCTCGAAGGGCGACCCGTATTTGATATGATTTGTTCGGCGGAGGTATTCCTGCGCCTCGTCGCCGTGGTGTTCTCCGCAGGCGGTCTGCGTGGTGCCCGGTTCCAACTCCACGACCAGTTAGCGTAATGCGCCTTGCTTGCTGTGTCATCATCACCGCGTAACGACTGTGAGCTTTAGATCGAGATTTGGAGTAGGAGGTTGGAAGACGTGAGGGTTCGTTCGAGGTTTTCCGCCATGCAGACTCCCGCGATGCCGCGAGTGATACGTTATTGCCTTCATCTCCGCTGTGTGATGCTCACCATCGATCTCGGCTCTTGTGATTCCAATGTGCAAATACACGTTTTAATCGCAGTTTTCCATCTCCGTGCTTCGGCGGATCTCTTCGACGCTACGTCTGGTTCAGGTGTGACTTGGATGAAACGAAGCCATGTAGGTAGTCAGAATCCTTGGATATCTCGCGTCGCGGTTCGAATAGCAGGGAGCAGCGAGTGGACTTGGGGATCTTAGTACTGGCGAAATTGTGTTAATCGCATGACACAGACATGGTTTTCAACCATTGAAGATATAAGCAGCGTTTGCGTTTGTGAGTGCGTGACCGCTCAGCAGGAGGTCAGCCGAGACGACCAATTTGTGAGGTCTTGTAAAGGATGGCCCCGCCTGTTGGCGGATCCAAAGTCCAAAGGAGAGGGGGGGGGGAGGACGGAGCCATACTTTCCCCTATGCCTCCCAAGGGACCGTAATTGCTCTGAAGTGGCCTAACAGGGCAAACGAACCCCGTTTTTAACACAAGGCTTAACAACACTGCGTCTTTGGGCCTACCTGAAATCTTCCCATTTGTCACAAAAACTGTATTCGCCTTTTGTCAAGACTCCGTATGTTAACCTGCCGGGGTACTCTTGGTCGCTCAGAGCCCCTTCACATTGGTCTGGGGTTCTTCCCGGCTGCTCGGAGGGCCCTGCGCTGTTGCTGGGGCCCTAAATTAACGCCGCACCCATACACGCCACGCTCAGGGACCCTCTGCATTGGCCTAGGGCTCTATCCCTTTGATCTCATTTGCGGAGGACTGTTCACTCTTGTCGTGGCCCTTTCTGTTAACCCGCCCTGGCACTCTTGATCGCATATGTGCCTGCTGCAATGGTCTCGGGTACTTCACATTTGCCCGGAGGACCCTGACCTATGGTTCGCGGCTCTATATGCCCATCTGCCAAGGCGCTCTCGGTCGCTCAAGGCATTCATTCATGCACATTGGTCTTGGGTTATTCTCCTTTGCTCAGAAGCCCTGCGCTCTAGTGTGGGCCCTATACGTTAACCTACCGGGTAACTTCTGAGCGGTCAGGGGGCCCACCACATCGTTGGTGTTTTTTTTTCTCGCTTGCTCTGAGGACCCTACACTTACCGGGAGGGTGCCGTCCCCAGTGGTCTTGGGTTTTCCCACTTTATCGGAGGGCCTTCCAGGCTGGTCGTGGGCTCTTCCGATGAATGTAGAAGAATCCTACTTTGCTGCCGAAAGCCCCACGTGTGCGTGTGAGCGCCAGGGCGTTTTCCCTAAACACACAGTCGGCTCCGTATCGGCATGGGCCTGAGAGCCCATTTTCCGAGCATGGACAAAGCAGGAGCCAGCGATTTGCATTGGTGGAGTCCCAGCGTCCGCCAGGGCCCCACAGCGCGAACAGGGGTTCTGCGTTTGCAAGGGCCCCAAGTCGGCTAGACGCAGTGTTCGAGGAGGTCCGAAGAGCCTGGAGGGCCCACCGGGACCGACGATTAGGGGCCCGGTGGGAGGGCTTAAGGACACGAAGGGCTTGTCGGTGTCTTCTTCAGGGGCCCGGCCTGCGGTAACGAGCCCTTAAATGACAGAGCGCTTTTTTTGCGCCGATCGAGGACCTCCTGAGTTGATATGGGCCTATCTGTTGGTCGGACACCACCAGTGCCGCACAGCCGGCTCCGTGTCGACATGGGCCCGAGATCCCACTTTCCAATCAGCTGCAAGGCCGGGGCAGGAGACCGTGATCGCCGTAGGTGGTCTAATATGGCGCGCAGACTCCAGTTCAGCTTAACGGGTCCGTGCTGGAATTGGATTGGAGGGCCGCTGTTCGGCATTGGGGGCCCGCAAGGGCACAGTACCCTTTCGTTGTCTCCAGGGGCGGATCCAGAGGGGGCACGGGTTATGGGCCCCCTTGGGCCCGAAGGGACACATAAGCTCCGAAGCCGGCGGAACAGATGCATTTTTTAAACACAAATCGCAACAAAATTGAAAATATTTGGGCTTTCAGACGTCCAAGAGCAGCCGCAAGAAACTGAGGAGTTGAAGAAAGGAAAAAATCATTCTTTACTGATTGAGACGATCGTGATTGGGATATCATAACGCGTATTACGCTGCCCACAGGCCCTATGCTGCTTCCGGTGTGTTTGCCCACTTGCAGGGCCAATCCGATTGCCAATGAGCTTTCCACGTAGCCCTTACTTCCTGTGTATTTGTCCGAAGGGCCCTGGCGTTACTGGGGCCCTTCCTGCTACTAGGTGTTTTGAACATTAGGTGTTATGATACCTTAGTGGTTACGACATCAGATATTGCGAGAATCCCCCTTCTTATTGAAGGGAAGGGCCCTACGCTCTGTCGAGGGCCTATCTGATAACCAGCTCGGGCACATTCGATCGCTCAGGGGCCCTCCATATTGCGTCTTGCGTACTTCCTATTTGAATGGAAGCCCCCCCCCCCTCTGTTCGCTTCCTCAGCCTCACTGAATTGTTCGGGGGGGGGGGGCGCATACTGGGTCTTGGTGTTTGAATTTGGACCCTGCGCTCCTACCGGGGTCACCTGATAACCAGCTCAGGTACACTCCATATTTCGGGGGCCCTCCACACTGGATTTGGTTACTTCTCATTCGAATGGAGGGCTTTACACTGTTGTCAGGGCCTCTCTGATAAGATGCTCGGATCCATTTGATCACTAGGAGCCCTCTACATCTGGTTTTGGGTACTTCCTATTTGAATGGAGGTCGTTCCGCTCTTTTGGGGCCTAATCTGTTAACCTGTTGGCGCACTCGATCATTCGAGGGCCTCTACATCGTGTGGTGGGTATTTCATATTTGAATGGAAGGCCCTACGCTCCCTCCGCTCGGGCACACTCGATCGTTCGGGGCCCTCCATGTGTTTTGGGCACTTCTGTTTAAATAAATGCCCCTATGTTCTTGCAAGGTCCTCATCTGAGGACGGGGAACGCACGGGACCATGCCTCCTTGTGCCCCGAGCGGGGCCATAGGCTCTGAAGGGGCCGGTAACCGACCAAATAGACCCAGTTTTCCAACACAAAACGGAACAAAATTGGACTTGTTTGGGCTACAGATGACTAAGAACACTTGCGAGCGAAAATGATGAGCCTATGAGCAGACAAAGCTAATTCTCCGCTGATTGAGAAGATATTGATTTAGGTAGATTTTGGGGCTGGTTACGCTATCTAGAGCCTTACGCTGCTGCTCGGGGCCTGCATATTAAATTGCCGGGTCAAGCGCATCGCTCAGAAATCTTCCACGTTGGCCTTAACATCTTCAAATTTTCTCGTAAGGCCCTACGCTGCTGTTGGAGCGCTATTTGATTACATGCCTGGACACTCTTGATCGATCAGGTTTTCCTCCACCGATTCTTCCCATTCGCCTGAAACGCTTAACGCGCTTTTCCGAGGCCCCATATGCCAGGGTACAGTCAGTTGCTCATGGGCCCTTCACATTCATATGAATTCCTTTGACTTGCTCGGTGGGCCTTGTGCTGTTGCTGGACTCATATAAGGTAAGGTACCGAGCCACGTGATGCTCAGGAGAACTCTTCTTTGAACTAGTCCTCTTTCCCTTTGGTCTCATTCGCGGAGGACCCTTCACTCCTATCAGGGTCGTTGCTTTAAACCTGCCCAGGCATTCTTGATCGTACGGGGCATTAATCCATTGCATTGGTATTCCGTAACTTTTGTTTAATCAAAGGGGCCTGTGCTCTGGCCGGGGTCCTACATATCAGTCTGCCGGGGCATTACTG